TTTTAATATATACATATAGTGGTGCTCACCATGAGGGGGGGCAGTCTTCTTCAGGGGCCCGAAGTCACTACTATACTACTAGTAATTAGTAATATAATAAAGAACACAAGCAAGACAACAATGTGATTTAATGTTAAACTCGTATAACTTTTTTGCATAATAAAATAATTCTGTTCCCCAAATTGACATCTTGGGCCTATTCTAGCAAGTGGTCTGTGCCCAGAAGTTCAAGGGGGTTCTGCACACAGATCTGTCACAGGATTAAGGCTGGGGTCTGTTTTCATGTAATTTCACTTCAGAGTTTCTAATAATTATTTTTATAATCACCTATCAGCAACTGTCTGAAGCAACAGAATGTCCTAGTACAGTATTCCAAATATGTTACAAATTCTGTAGTTTTATGACATGAACAACATAAAATGAAAGAATTGATATGGAATTTTTAAGGAGAATTCTGTTAATTAGAATTGCACTAATCTTCAGTCTTCTGAACTGTAGTTTTTCCTTTTCCCCTATGTTTGAGTTCTTCTGTAGCATTACGTTTACCGATAGCCTTATAAATCTGAATAAATCTAACAGGAAATACCCAGTAAAACATTCTGGGTTCAAATTCTGCAGTCCTTTGCAAAGATTCAGTCCACTCAGTAGTAAGCAGAATTTGGCCCTGAACAAAAACCTGATCCTTGAAAGCCTTACTCTAGCAAGTCGTACCAGTTGACTTCACTGGCTTTGCATGTGCAAGGACTGGACCCTCGGTAAGTGTTGCAGGATTTGGGGTCCTGGGATATTTGAATTTTTTTGCTCCTCTAAATATTTGGTACAGAGTTACAGATTTTGTGTTCTCTGGATAATGACAACTTTGGAGCTTTTGAAAATGTTGTCATGTTACTAATAATTGAAAACATGAAAGATCTTTAATGTGTTTATGTATTAACTTATATTCCTAGAATATAGTAGTGTAATTAGAGAGCTCTGTAAACTATGAAAACTCTGAATATTTATTAACATTTAACATTTTATTTGCTTACTCTATGGTGTATAATATTTTTAGTTTAGTTTATCTTTTCTTATAGTTTTTACTTAGGATAAGAGACATGGGAAAGAACACTGCTCACTAAATTATATGCATAAAACCAATGAAACTTGAACAGTTGATATTTTATTTTTTCAGTAGAGCAGCATGAAACAAATGCTTTGTTTTGTTTGTGCAAATGAGAAGACCATTATAATGCAAAGCAGTGTTCTGAAAAAAAGCAAATGTGCTTTTTCTGTTGTAAATATCCCTGCTAAATGCTGCAGTAATTGCAAGCAGAGCTTGGTGTTTTTTCTCTCTTCTTTTCATTGATATATTTTAACAAGTTCTCTTGAGACTATTAAAACGTCTTAGTTTTTGGAACATGTGGTCCAGCGGGGATAACTTTGTCTACAGATGCAGTGGGTTGGCAGCTAGATTTTGCATGTCTTTTCATTTCTTTCCAGATTCTTTGACCCAGTGTAACCTTTGGTCTCCCTCTGAAGGCAGGGGTGAAGGAAGTATGAGCAGGTGACTGATGATCACTGTCAATACAGCCTGCAGACAATATGCGAATTACTTTAGCAGTCTCTCACTTCCCTCCACTCCCCCATCTCTTAAACCAACAAATGCAAATAGCTCCATTCCCATTTGCTAGTATTTCAGTGCTGCTGCTCAGGCAGCATGGGCTTTGTTGTAGACTTGCTTATTCAAAAAGGCAGTTTGAATCCTAGTAAGAAGAAAAATTATCTAATGGGACTTAAACCCCCTTAATGGTCAATGCGGCTAGTATTTGGCCCTCTGGAATATAAAGGTAGGAAGATGCTGAAAATAAACATATTTATATTGTATTTCAACAGTACAGCAAGAAATGATTAGTACTATTTGCATTGTTAGCCTTTGTTTAGTAAATAATATAAATCCTTTCTACAGAGCAGTTGAAATTTGCCCACTGTATAGAAACATGTACCTGTACTCCTAGAACCTGTTGGCATTAAAATTTGTTATTGGGATTATCTATGTATTTAACATTTCATTTACTATGCAAAAGAGACTATGAAAGCGTTTGCTAGATTTCAGTAGAGTCAGACAATGAATCTATGAAGCACATATTTCTTTGCAATTTCTTGACTTTATTTATTAAGCACAGAATTGTGTAGTCTGAATAAAATAGCCATATTTTATAATAATCTTGTTTTGCTTTCCAGATATGTTGTTTATTAAGAGTTGTCACTTGGAAGATTCAAAAGCATAACATAAAAGAGTGATGTTATTTGTATTGGCTAAAATTCAGTTAAACTTACTTTAAGTTGCTACTGTATATGAAATCTTGTAAATACTATCGTGGATAAATAAAAGGAAAGTGATTACTTTCTTAATTCAGAAGCTCCTTTTTTCCAGTTACCTAGAGGTAATTTGTGGCAGTAAATATATTTAATGTAATGTATTTAGGATTATAAATATTAGTAAAAAAGGACTTTTTAAAAAAAATTGCTCATCAAGGACGTTTGATTCATAAATGAATTAAACAAAACATACAAAATGTATTTAACATGTCCTAAAACTTTATTAACTTGTTTGAATAGAACTTTTGTTTTATAAGCATCTAAAGCGTCATTTTGGGATGTTCAGTTCACTTTACCTTGACACATTCTCTTCAAATGATTTGTTTGTTACAGTTAACTCATAGGGAGAAGTACTTATAAAATGAAAAGCACCACTTATAAGGCTGAGCACTAGACTGCTGAGATGCACATCACATGTATGGCTAGGCATTGTTGTATAGACTAATAGTAATGGTCTGTCTAGATTCCCTTGAAAATGCAACTTCTAGTTTTATTTGTGGTGTGGGGTTTTTTTGTTTTGTTTTTTAAATAAATCTTCAATCACTAATAGCTCAGCAGTAACAATTTTCTGATGTCCCACAAAACTATGGAAATTAGAATAAAGTCTTAAAATCCACCGTGAACTCCCCTTTCAGCTTGCAGTAGATCAGGCATTTTGGCTTTGGTTATGTCAGTTCGGCTTTAACATTAACTTGGAATTTCTCAAGTTTTGTCATGTTAAGTACAGGTTCATAGATTTTAAGGCCAGAAGGGACCATTATGATCATCTAGCATGTGTTATGCAGGAGATCAGACTATAGAATATCATTTTGTGATTCCTGCATCAAGGAACCTCATATGCTTTAGTTAAGCCAAAAGTTTTTTTTAGAAAGACATCCAGTCTTGATTTAAAATAAATACTTCACATGACAGAGAATCCATCAAATTCAACCTTTTTGTCTCATATTTCTTTTCCTTTGTGTGTGTACATGTGCATGCATACATGTGGGTGGGGGAAAAGGGGACAAGAGAAGGCTTATTTTCCTCTATTTTATTTGTTAGTTTTAACTGAACTTTTCCCTCTGGGGGTGCAAGTGTTGTCCGATACTCTCTGTTTTTGCCTTTTATTTCCTCACCACTTCCTCAAAAGCATCTGTATCTCTGTTGTTCAGCCTTCTCATCAAATGACAATAGATAAGTTTCCCTTGGAACCAGTCATTGCTGTTCGAATTGGACATAGGAGATACTGGAGACTGACATAACACATTTTCCCATCAGTGGTATATCTGTGTATGTAGAAACTCCTTCTGTTGTGTTTTAATATCAGTTTGTTGCCAAGGAAGGAGGGTGGGGGGAATGGATAGCTCAATGGTTTGAGCATTGGGCTGCTAAACCCAGGGTTGTGAGCTCAATCCTTGAGGGGGCGATTTAGGGACCTGGGGCAAAAATCTGTCTGGGGATTGGTCCTGCCTTGAGCAGGGGGTTGGACTAGATGACCCCCCCAAGGTCCTCCCAATCCTGATATTCTGTGAAAGTTACCATAAATTCTTCATAATGACTTCAGAGCACAATCAAAGAGGTGAAAATACATTATTAACTAGGAGGCTCTTATTGAAGAGAAATCTGGTCATGGCTTGCAGCCTGTCATCATCAGGCTGTGATCTAGTCAGGCTGTGAGCTGCATAGGGTTAGCGAGGTTTGTATTTGGTGGACATCCCACAAAGGAAATATTTGATATTACAGGAAATTAGAAGGTCATTCTTTTCCCTTTGAGTCATGTTGAATACAAGTCTCAGTGGGCACTGTGCTCCTAGAGGACATTCTTTCAAATAAAATTTAAAACTGAACTGGTGATCACTCAACATAATCTTTGCATGCAGTGTTGTTGTGGCCATGTTGGTCCCAGGATATCAGAGACAAGGTGGGTGGGGACAATATCTTTTATTGGACCAACTTCTGTTGGTGAGAGAGACAAGCTTTGGAGCTTACACAGAGCTCTTCTTCAGGTCATACCCACCATGTCTTTATAATTAATACTTGGCATTTTTCACAAGAACTCTGGGTGTTAAACTTGATGTCCCAGACACATCCCAGTTATTAAAATTTTGACTATCAAAACGTTCTTCCTCTTTACTTGAATGGTATTCTTCACTTTCTGCTGTGCACAGTTGAATAGTTGACGTTGTTTCGCCTCTGTGGCAGCTGCATTTAGAGTGGACAGATTTCTTATATTCTGTAGAATTTGTTAAGCACTTTGGGATCCTTCTTGATGACAAGCACTATATGAATGTAATAGTTGTGGTAGTAATGGAAACTATGAGAAACATCTTTAAGGTGAGTGTATTCAAATTATAGCTTTGTTTTTTATCTGAAAATTGTCCCTTGTAGAAAAGTTCCTCTTAAATATATATTTTTGGGGGAACTGGATTTGATTCTTTCTGGATTTAGTTAAATGAAGTAGTTTGATACCAGACACTTGTTACGTTTAGATATCTTCATTTTACACTGATTTTAAAATTTAAATTAATATGTAGCAAGTTTTTAAAATCATTAGAAAAGTTGCTTTTGTAGCACAAATTAATCTCTGGACAATGACACAAAATGCCTTCAGAATCTGATATTAATTTTGAGGTGAGGTTTTTGTTTTTTATTTTCCCCCTCAGTTTCCATTACAAAAAGAGGTGCAAAAGCCCAGTCTTCCCCTTCCAAAGTGACCCGGCGTTCAATGCAGTCTCCACAGAAGTCTGCTCCAGTACCAGCACAATGTGGCAGGAAAACAGGTCGGGGCAACCCCCCTGGACAATCTACAGTTCCTAGGAAGGGAAAATCTCCTAAAACCATTCCTCTGACAAAAATCACCTCTACGGAAAATCTCAAAACAAGGAAAAAAGGTTTAAAACCTGGAAGAAAGGTTAGTTACAGTTGCTACTTTAATTTGTATTGTGGAACTTTGTAGTGATTTGTTATTTTGAACATGTTGTTTATAATTCCATGTACAGGCTGATGCTGTTTTCCCTTCAGGCACTTACAGCTTGTCTTCACTTGAAATTTACCAAAATAAGTATTCTGGAATTCTTATTTTGAGATAAGCCACCATGTGAACACTCTTATTCTAGAATAAGAGACCCTTTTTCTGATTTAGATTAATCCACTGGATGGATGGATGGATGGATGGATGGATGGATGGATGGATGGATGGATTGATTGACTGTTTACTATTCCAGAATAGTTTTTTCAGTAAATTTCCAAGTTTTGACAATCCCTTAGGTTATTAGATTTAATTATTTTCTTACTGAAATAAATGTTAAGTTAGCACAATGTTAACCTTACTTTAGGGCGTTAGAAATCAAGGCTTTGTGTATAATTTTAGATTGGAAAACGTAAAAATGAATTTCTTCTGAAATTCCATAAAAAGTTATTACTGCGGCATTGTGTAATATGTTGCTTAAGTTACTGTAAATGTGATTTAAAATTCACCCTCTCCATCAAACAGTATAAATATAAAGCTCTGCTGACTTTTGTAAGATGACTCATTGGTTAAAATTAATAAAGATTCTGTCTCAGCATTGTTTGAACAGAGTTACTGCTTATATAGGATGCTGTTTATTTGTTTTTATTAATGTCTTCCATTTTACCACACACTTTACACAGAAGAATATTTTAATTAACTCAAGAAATATTATACACACACACTTTTTGACACATGGCAGGTATTACCAAAAGAATGATGAAACAAATAAAATGTCCCATTAACCACATTTGGGAGTGCCACACTCAGAGAGCTTGTGAGATTCATACTGAATATCATGAAGCCTGCACATCTTAGAACAAACATTAAATACAGCAAAATGCCTTATGCTTAAAGGCCGCTAGAGTAAATGTTTAAGGCCAGTTCAGACTGAATAAGCCTTTCACAAGTTCTTTTTATGCTAGTTTGAAAATATATAGTTAAGGAGGTCAGTCTTTGATCAGTACATTGTGAATTTGTTTGAATTTCCAAATAATTCTCAGATGGAGAAGCAGTCCATTCTGTTGCAATATCTGTTTGTTGTCAACATGTTTCACTGTTTGTTATCAATATGTAATATTCAGCATTTCTATCTGTGCAATAGAAAATAAGCTTATTTTGCTGTAGTGTCTTTCATCCAAATGCTTCCCAATATCAGTGCAATAAAGTTCAATGCAAAATCCCCCTTACCTGTATTTTGACTCCTTACCATCTTTCTCCCAATTTCAATAGGTAGTGTTTTTTATTAATTTCAGTTCTAATGTGAAAGGAAAACATTTGTTCCCTTTATAACTGTTTTTATGTATTACATTTTAAAAGTATTCTTTAATTTAGCAACACGAGTAACCAGACTACAGTCAAAACAGACAGACCACATATTTCAGTATTTCAAATATACGGGCTTTACCCTGGTCCTTAATGAGGATGTGGGGAGTAGCCAGTCAGTATATGCACTGTTGTGTTAGTTGTTTGTCCCTCCATGTCTCCCACTTGAATGTTCATATTATTTCTTTTTCATGTCTCCATCTCTTCACATGTTGAATTTTCCTCTCTGTTATCTATGGCTTTCTGTGCTATGGAGTAGCAATAGCCCAAAGGTAGAGTGAAGTCATCTCTTGTAGTGTTGTATAGAGAGACTTTCTGGATTGCCTAGGAAGTTGGAGCTTTTGCTCTAGCTAAGTACATGTTTATTCTCTGTATCCAGGATGATTTGAGTCCTTTCTGTTATTGGATATTTAGGTTTGTTGCATCACTCTGGGAAGCTGCCACTGTCTGCCATGTTCAGTAGAATATTATCCCATCTGTTCTAAACCATTTGTGTCCATCATCAGTACAATATAACTCCTGCCACTATATTTATTATCTTTATAGCAACTTCAGTCACCACCCAATGCCAGACTCTCCAATCAGCCCTTTCTGGCCTGTTCACCTTTACCAAATATCTCAGTCCTTGCCATGTACCATGGATTGCAAAGCAAGCTAAAGCAGTTCTTTATAGATGTTGCAGCAGTGCTCAGAGTGAACTCTTTCAAAGACCTGTATTTTGGTTGTTTTAAGATACTTAAGTGAAAAGTCAGTGTGTCAATATAAAATTGTTTCCAAAATCAAATAATGACAGTAGCTATCATAAAAGTCTTATGTGAGAACATTTTTTAATGAGTAGCTTTTTAATACAATTTTTGGCCAAAACCAATCTGTTGGTTCACGGCTTAAGGGAAAGATTGTCATGTACACATTTTCTCATCCTTTCCCATTCCCAGTTGCACAGATCATCTCCCTTCCCATTTGTGATCTCAACCTCCTTATGGCAACTGTTTACATGCAAAAGTGATACAGAAAATCATTTAGTCTGGGTTTTCCAAACACACCTGAGGGCATTATTTTCCCAAATTCTATTGAAGGCCAATGGGAGCTGGTTTCCTAGCTGCTGTAGTCTCCTTTTGAAAACTCCAGCCTCAGTGAATTTTAGCTTTTAATATAGTTCAGCAGCAAGCAATGAAGAGAACCCCCACCACATCACCAGCCAGCTCTCTGCTGTCTGCAAATGGCAGGCAAACATCTGTTTGAGGTACATCTGACTTAGGTCATAATGTTAGTTTAAGTACTAGCAATAATAAGTTTATGTGGGATGTATGAACACATGGGAATAGCCATTTTTTAAAATGTCATCTGTTCTGATGATGAAAAATGGGGAATGTGGGTAGAACAGCTTTAAATCCCCTGTATTTTCATGTATGCTCACAAAGTTTATTAGAACATTAGAATAAGAAATGCTCCACTGGTGTAATAAAGGGCCAAATTGTGGCTGCTCTGTGCCTGTGTGTACTGAGAACCCCTCTCATGTTACATTTTCCAATGCAGGAGGCACCTATAATATGTAGCATGAAGGGGTGGAGACTGGCCAACCTGTGCTGTGTAGAGTATATGCAGTGGTAGCAGCCCTCATGAATCTGCTTTGTGATTTGGTGTTTTTACTTGTAGACAAGTGATCATGGAGAATCTCAGCAAATTTCTAGTGTTCCTGGTCGCAAATGAGAAAGACTCAAATGAGAAAGCAAATAAAGTTCCCCAAATCTATTATTTTTAAGACAATTTCACAATTTCGGGGGGGCATGACACCTGAGTCTATTAACATTTTGCAATAGCAATATTGCATGAGCTCACCTCTCTGTGCACCAACTTGCAGCTGCAGGGCAGTGCTTAGGGAAGCACAATCTGCCTCTGCAGAACAAGTATAGTAGCAGCTGACAGTGAGTTTGTTCTCTTTCACCCTCTACCCAGCACCTCTGGAGGCCTTCACAGGCCTTCAGCTATCCTCATGTGAGCAGTAAATCTCCCCTCACCATGACAGGCCCTTGTCCCCTAATTTCTTACGTGGCCTGTTTCTTAGATCTGTACATATGAATGTTTATCAAAACCAACTGTAGGTTTGAAAGGTTTAAGTGGAGCTGAAAGCAGAAGGCAAGATACATTTAGCATGGTGTGGTTTTTTTCATTTAACATGAAAGTGAAACAGGATCATTAGTAACATTTCCACACCAAATTCACTCTTATGCTACTTCAGATGAGTGCTCCAGTGTAAAAGGAGCTGGAAGGATGAGGTGGTTATGGCATTGAAACAAATCTTAACTGAGGCTATCCTTTTTAAAAATAATTTTTAAAATAATTTGTTTAGCGTGAAAAGAAGATTAATGTTACAAATGCAGTGCCATCAACTGGCAAGCTACTGATTTGACATAAATGATTCCTTTTTCATGAGTGACTTCTCATTATGCATGGTGGCTCGTCTGGCATTTCCTTTCACAATATTAGGGCCCAACCAGCCTATTCAGAGACTTGATCAGCTCAGAGCATGAAGTGAGGGATAGTAAACCAACATGCCAAGTTTGTGGTTGATAAGAGTTAGACAGCAATATGAGCTCCCTATTTTTGGCACCTATATTGCTTATTCTCAGTTTGTCCCTCTCTTCTCTCCCTACTTAGACAGAGGGTACACCGGAGCTGGAGGTGTAGACGTACCTGATCTAACTCTGATTGAGTTAGGGCATGAAAAAATAGAAGTGTAGTCATAGCAATAGGAGGGGCTACCCACCCCAAGTACTTCCTTAAGGTTTTACACGAGATCATACTTGGGGCAGCTAGCCCATCCTGCTGCTTATGCCACCACAGTTATGCTTTAATTTTTAGTATGCTAGTTCAGTGAAAGCTAGCATGGGTACATCTATCGAAGCTGCAAATTACACCAGCGTAGACATACCCAGAGATGACGTCTTTCAGCCCTGTCACAAAGCCATAGTGCAATGGTCTGGCTGACTTGTTTAGTTAAATACCCTGAGTGGGTTACTGTTTCTAGAACGTCTTCCTGTTGGGGAGTTGAGTTTCACTGTAGTAAGTGGAACTCTGAAGGTGTGTGTTCCTTACCTCAGTAGTGAATGGTGATTGATAGTGCATAGTTCGTTTATGAATGAGAATTGTTTAACAAAAGGTCACTTGCTGATTTTGTGTTTTGTTTTTTTTAACAGAAAAAAATCTTGCCAGTGAAATCTCCTCCTGCATCTTCTCCTCTTACTTCTCCTGAGGGGGACAATGGCAGTACACAGATACATAAAGATGGAGTTGGCATTGCTGGTGCAACAGCAGCAGTTATATCCACAGGTATAAAGGGACAGTCTGAATGTATGAAATTACTTCCCCTTTTAAATAAAAATAATTATATAGTTTTATGCTACTATTATTCTAAAACACGTGCTGAAGATAAATTGTTTTGCTAACATCTTCATATGAAAATATATTTTTATATTGCAGTTCTCCAAATGTGCTTAGGTAAGACACGTATTTGGTGCATGTGCAATGGCAAGAAACACCAGAACTTCAGGAATTTGGTGTCTGGTTAGCATGCTTTTTGGTGTGTAAATAGGAAAGTCCATTGCACTTTCAGTAGTCTTCCATAGCCTGGAGCACAATGCTTGATAAAGAAGAAAGGACATGCTTTGTCTTACCTTACTTCCATCCCAACCAGTAGCAAAATGTACTGGAAATGACTGTTGCCAAAAGGCCATTAGACACTACTGTTACACTCCAGAGAGTATGGAAATAGAGATACAGATGACAAACTATGTCACTGAAAAAACAAAATCCAGGAAAAATGGGCCAGGTTAAAACAAGAGCTCATTTAAAATGGAAAGGCAGTGAACTATATTATAAAATGGGTGGTGGAAAAGGAGTAAGTTAGTTAGAGGTAGTTAGAACTACCTCTGAGTAGTCTCTTTATTACACAGTTATGGGACAATTTGTAAATTGTCAGCATTTTGGTCGTCGCCAAATCCTGGGACCTGCTAAAGTGCGCCTCCTCCCACCCCTCCAAAAAAAAACGGTGGGAAAAGTTTGCTATGTTTTTAATTTTTTGCCATTTTTAAGCTGCTTTTACAAAGAAACTGTCCCTCTGCTTTCCCTCCTCCACATCATTACAGCTACCCCTCTTTCAGTGCTATACAACATTGGGGCAGAATAGGCAATCATTTCATACTAAAGGAAACTGTCAGGTTTACAAACATTACTGAGCCCAAATAAGAGTTTAATAACATATTTTACAGAGTTTTCCTGTTCTCTCCACATCCACATCTGTGCCTCCCACAGCTTCTGCTGTCAAACAGAAAATAGACATGAATGCAGAGTTCGGGAGCATTACAGTCTTTTTACAAAAAGAACGAGGAGTACTTGTGGCACCTTAGAGACTAACAAATTTATTTGGGCATAAGCTTTCGTGGGCTAGACCCCACTTTATCAGATGCATGGGTTTTAGCCCATGAAAGCTTATGCCCAAGTAAATTTGTTAGTCTCTAAGGTGCCACAAGTACTCCTGTTCTTTTTGCTGATACAGATTAATACGGCTACCACTCTGAAACCAGTCTTTTTACAAGTATCAGTTGTTTGAAAAATCCAAGTTTCATTTGAGCACAAATAGTACTGTAATTCATTAAAAAAAAACAGGTTTCTTTTATCTTATTTAATGCTTCAGTCTATTGCCTCACCACCAAGGCATATCCTTATTAGACCACAATAAATCCTGATCCCACTGAAGTTAATGGAAACATTTCTATTGACTTCAGTGGGGTCAGGCTTTCACCCCTTATTTTGTCTTGTTGCTTAACCACAGATCATGATCCCTGTGATAGGTCTGAGTTATTTAGGTGCCTGTCTTTTCTTGAACAGACAGTTGCTTTTTTTTGTTTTTGTTTCTATAGAAAGTGTCTTCCTAAAATGAACTTGACTGTTGTTTTGGCAGATTTTAACTCTAGAAATAACACAGGGCATTTTACAGTAATGCATTTTGTTAAGGTTTTCACTTTGACCCCTGTATTCTTATAGTTCAGAGCATCTACCGGGTTAGATGTAGTGTAATGGAACCCATATGCAGATGGAGTTCAGTAACAAGCACAGATGGTTGTAGGCTGGGATAAACTCAACATGGTAATGTGATGTAGGAGGGTTTTGGAGGCTGATTCATCAGGTTGAGAAAGAAGGAAACGAATACTGCTGTGAATGGCTGCTGGGTTGGAGATATTTGTCATGGAGTTTGGCACCACCATGTTGTTGTGCAGTAGGTACAATTTTAAAAGTAAAAATACTGGAGAACCAAACTGCATTTTGTGTCAATGAGGAGACAATGCAATGATGATGCCATTTTGAGTATCCAATGCAGAGAGATTGCCCTAGAGTTTCTTTAAAATATACTGGGATGCAGAGGGGAGGCACTTGAGTGCAATGTGGTCTTCTAAAGGGGACAGGGGAAGCCTAGGTAGCTAACAATTTTGGTACCTGGTCAAAATCCTGTTTTTACTTTAATCTGCCAGGATTTCGTGACTTATCCATTGCTGCACTGCATGCTAAGTAGTTAACTATTGGTAAACTGTGTTATTAAAGAAAGAAGTGTATGCACAGAAGGTGTATGGTGTTTTTGTGTTTAGTGTGCATCAATCGAATTCAATATGACTTTCAGTGAGAGCCACTGAAATACGTTTTGATTGAGTGTGATTGTGCCTGAAGTGGGCAGATTCCATAAATATGGCTTGTAATTTTTCAGTTTGCGTCTATGTTAACAAGCATGGGAACTCTGGACCTCACCTGGATAAGAAGAAAGTTCAGCAGCTTCCAGACCACTTTGGACCAGGTCCTGTAAATGTGGTACTTCAGCAGGCTGTGCAGGCCTGTGTAGACTGTGCCTATTTATCCAAAACAGTCTTTGGATTCCTCAAGTCAGGGCATCATGGAGGGGAGATGATAACAGGTATGCAAAGTCCTTGATTTTTTCCAATTTGTTCACTGGGTTCTGTTTGAGAAATTTGAATGTGGTGTAGAGCAGGGAAGTTGACGTAGTAGCAAAGCAATGATTAACATTTTTATGTTTCTTTTGTAAATCTTTAAGCATAGCTAAGAATACCCAACTGTGGCTACGTTTACTGGTGGTGTATCTATGGCCAGCACTGAATTTACATCTTAATATAGGATATATAATGATACAGCCAGTTTTCTTAATTTGAATTCAGCAGTGACTATATAAAATTACATATACCATATAGCATTGTTCAATTTTTTACAAAGTAAAACTTGCATACCGCAGTAAATAGCCATAGCCAAACATTTGTCAAGTAAATTCAATGCAAGTCAAAGTTCAGCTTTATTAATTCATGTCTTATCCATACACAGTGTTTGTCTTCTTGATGCTGTAACCAAGTGGGTAAAAAGTTTAAAACTAATCTGCTTAGGTTTCAGATAACTGATTCCATATGTTAAACAGAACTGCTGTTGCTTCTCTTTTTTCCCCCTGTACTAATATTCTAGAGGCGTCTTAGGGTCAGTGTTAGTGTTTGAGCACCTATGTCCTCTGCTACAGTGGTTCTCAACCTTTTTCTTTCTGAGCCTGAGCCGCCCCCCCCCACCCACCACACACGTTATAAAAACTCCATGCCCCAGCTGTGCCACAACTGTTTTTCTGCATATAAAAGCCAGGGCCAACATTAAGGGGTAGCGAGCGGGGCAGTTTCCCGGGGCAGTTTCCACGGGCCCCACGCCACAGGCGGCACCATGAAGCTAAATTGCCTAGGCTTCAGCTTCAGCCTCGAGCTGCAGTCTTGCACGGCAGAGCTTCGGATTTCTGCCCTGAGCCCTAGCAAGTCTAATGCCGGCTATGCTTGGCCGACCCCCTGAAACCTGCTCAGGGGGCCCCAGGCCTCTGGATGAGAAGCACTGCTCTACTACAGAGTGGGTTTATTTCTTATATATGCCAAGGGCAGCTCTGTAGATAAATTATCCTCGTAGCTCAAACTCAGTATCTGCATCTTGTCATTTTTTCCCCTTCTGGGTTGGCAATTTTCTGTATAGTAGTAAGCCGCATTAATTCATAATTTCATCACTGGCAGTAAAAAGGGTTTGTCTTACTTTAATCTCCTTATATTAATACCAGATGGGAAAGATGATTAGTGGAAGGCAGGTTTATTTAAGCTCTCATAAAAGAACTCGCTGCCTAACAGTGTTAAAATACAGCATCCTGACCCAGATGCAGCAGAACTTCTCTAATCCTCACGCACAATTTGCACACCAGTTTGTTCCCAAAATGGAGCTCTCTCCTTATTTCTCAAAAAAGGTTTAGCACCTCTGTACAAATGAGGTTTTATTACTAAGACATTTTTATATGTACAGGATATACTACAGCATGTTTACTAGCACATTAAGTATTGTCATAAATAATTAACACCAAAAACTGTCAAATTGCAAGAATAAAATACATTCATGACGCGTATTATCCTTGATTGCTTACAAAGGACTAAATCCTGGCCCAAGAGATGTATAAATAAGGGGTGTGAATTGAACTAGGCAGACAACTGTAATTCTGTTTCCTGGAGGATTTCGTGATTTTGAAATTTGGTTTAGTTCCAATTTGGTACAAAAGCCCAAAATTCTCCACAGAATGGAATTATCATTCTTCATCCAGCTCTCCTGGGAATCCAGGCTGATGAGGAGTCACAAGTGAGGGCCTGGGAGTCCTGCTCCCAGCTCCCCATTAGTCTGCTAGTCAGGCTGCCAGGGAGCTGGGCAGGCCAGCTGGAAGGAAAACATTGGGATCCTAGCTCGTTTCTGGCAGAATTTCACTGAAATTGAATGTTATCCTCAAATGTTTCAGCTTCAACAAAACGATAGATTCTGTTGAAAAAATGTTTTATCAAAAGTTTTCCAACCAGCTCTAGGTGCGAACACTGAGCAGGGGGAGGAATTGCTTAGCAGAATAAAATGAGGAGTAACCGAATAAAATTAAGAAAGGGAATATGAAGTCTGAATATCAGGAAAAATTGATCCTATGGCTTGTGGAATGATGTCCCAAGGAAAGTTCCAGTGTTTGACAGTTTTTCTGAATAGACCAGACAAAACATTAGTAAATATAAAGTAGGTTGGGCAGCTTTGCAAAATTCAAACTGGACACTCAGGTAGAGTGAGTATCTTTGGACTTGTTGGTTAAAAAACATCATTTCTTTCATTAACTTTATCATTGTAAAGGATAAGCAAGTAAATTGTGTCTGGACTGGTGAATTGTCTTGACAAATTGTCTTGTCTGCGGTGACAGGCAGATGGACAAGATTACCCTAAGTCTCTCCCACCTCTAGATTCTGTGACAACAGCTATGGAGCTGGGAAAACCACCAAAAAGCTATCACACAGGGAACAAGGACCAGGAGGAGTTCCCATACATGTTTTTTTAAATAGTATTTTCTTTGGGGCTAGGAGTTTTGCAGGCAATATCACACTCTTCTCCCATGATTGCCATGGTGCTTTGTGGGGCCTAGGGAGAGGTTCTTTTGCCCAGATTATTTATTAGGTCTGTTCTATAGTGATCCTCATCATAACAACTGATTACTTCACAATTGTTACTGGATTTACTCTCACAACATCCCTATGAGATGAAGAAGTATATTTCCATTTTATAAATGGGAAACTGAGGCACGGGGAGTAAGTGGCTTCCCCAAGGTCAGATGGGAAGACCACAAGACCATCCAGATGGATCTTGGATTTTCGTTGTGATGGACAGTGCTGTTTTGCAGTATGTCTGTCAGGAGGTGTATGGGAAGCCATGTAGCCCATTCAGTCTCCTAACTGATTCAGAGCTAGGTGGAATCTGCTCCCTGGGTACCCACAAAATAACAATGGGAGTCTTCTGTGGGTGACCCTGCAGTGGTACAGTGAGTCCTTAGGAGTTCAGAGTCTCGTTAATCTAGTGACTTCAGTGATTTCTTTGCCCTGAAGGAAAGAAGGGCCAGGATTTGTCCCTAATTCAGTGATTCTCATAATTCAGTAATCCTCAATGCATCATCCAGTTATGAGAGCAAATGAGTAAGGTTCTGTTGTAGCATTTTTATACTAAATTTTATTTACTGCATTTATAAAAATACCTGTACAACATCGCTTCACATTAGAGGTGTTATTTGTATCACTTTTCTGATACTAGTTTAAATTACTCTAGATATGTTTTTAAAACTGAATACACTGCCCCTTATTGATGGTGGAATGATTCTCAGCATGGTATGGCTCCTAATTCAGATTTCTGCGATTTAATGTCATACTTGCAAAGGTATTGTTTTTGAAAGCACACCTCTGTTTCCCTGTCAATGGAATATGATGCTCTCAGGAACTTCTTATTTTTTGGAGGGAAAAGCTCATACTAAACTCTTGCACACACCGAAATTGTACTTGATGAGCAGGAAAAGCAGGAAGGCAAAATAGTAAAAATTTTAAAATTCATAACAACTTCTTTGTAGCCATAAATTACATGTTTGTTACCTGTTAGATTTGTGATGTGTTACATTATACATTATTTCTAGTTAGAAAGTACACAGCTAATGCAATGAGAATTGCTCATCTAGAGGCCTGGAATTAGTGTTCTTAACTTTTTTCATCTCACTGTTTGCCAGAAGATGATGCTTGGCTTTTCCCTAAAACATTTTAATTCCTATTGATGCTTTTAATACAACAAGCTGTCATGGGATAAAAGGGAAGGTCCTCTCATGCATTGGTAGCAGGTTAAAAGAATCTTGGTCAATAACCAGGTGTTACCCCAATACAAACAGTAAAATGGAAGGATCCAGGCCTGTCAAAACTGGTTAAAAGACAGGAAACAAAGGGTAGGAATAAATAGTCAGTTTTCAGAATGGAGAGAGGTAAATAGTGGTGTCCCCCAAGGGTCTGTACTGGGACCAGTCCTATTCAGCATATTCATAAATGATCTGGAAAAAGAGGTAAACAGTGAGGTGACAAATTTGTAGATTATACAAAACTACTCAAGATAGTTAAGTCCCAAGCAGACTGCAAAGAGCTACAAAGGGATCTCACAAAACTGGGCGACTGGACAACAAAATGGCAGATTAAATTCAATGTTGATAAATGCAAAGTAATGCACATTGGAAAACATAATCCCAACTATATATATAAAATGATAGGGTCTAAATTAGCTGTTACCACTCAAGAAAGAGATCTTGGAGTGATTGTGGATAGTTCTCTGAAAACATCCACTCAATGTGCAGCGGCAGTCAAAAAAGCTAACAGAATGTTGGGAATCATTAAGAAAGGGATAGATAGTAAGACAGAAAATATATTGCCTGTATATAAATCCATGGTGCGCCTACATCTTGAATACTGCATTCAGATGTGGTCGCACCATCTCAAAAAAGATATATTGGAATTTGAAAAGGTTCAGAAAAGGGCAACAAAAATGATTAGGGGTATGGAACAGCTTCCATATCAGGAGAGGTTAATAAGACTGGGACTTCTAAGCTTGGAAAAGAGACGACTAAGGGGGATATGATTGAGGTCTATAAAATCATGACTGGTGTGGAGAAAGTAAATAAGGAAGTATTATTTACTCCTTCTCATAACACAAGAACTAGGGGTCACCAAATGAAATTAATAGGCAGCAGGTTTAAAACATATAAAAGGAAGTATTTTTTCACACAACACACAGTCAATCTGTGGAACTCCTTGCCAGAGGATGTTGTGAAGGCCAAGACTATAACAGGGTTCAAAAAAGAACAAGATAAATTCATGGAGGATATAACCCCATCAATGGCTATTAGCCAGAATGGGCAGGGATGGTGTCCCTAGCCTCTGTTTGCCAGAAGCTGGGAATGGGCGACAGGGAATGGGTCACATGATGATTACTCATTCTGTTCATTCCTTCTGGGGCACCTGGCATTGGCCACTGTCAGAAGACAGGATACTGGGCTAGATGGATCTTTGGTCTGACCCAGTATGGCTGTTCTTATGTAACAAATATAAAATAAAGTATAAGCATATCACCCTTCATGTTGTCTAAGATGCATGTAATAAACTGACTTTTAAAGCAACATAACTACTATTGGTGTTTGTTCTTGGTTTCCTTACATTGTCAGAGTTCCTACTTAAATAAATGGGAGCTTGACCTGCACAACCACTGCTGGAATGGGTTCTATAATGTTGAATAACACAGCTTCTTAAAATGGCACACCAGTTACTTCTGGCCGTCACTGTAATTGTAACAGGTGACAGTCTGCAACAGATGAGTATGAGCAGTTCCTGTTAACAAATGAGGTCCCTCAAAAATCCCCAAGTACTATGAAAGTTTTCTTCAGTTTTATTTCCTGTAAACATTTGACATTTCTTGCTGTTCAATAAGCAAATAACACGGACAATGTTTAATTTCTATCAGGGGAGCTAATCTGAATTTACACAGATGTAACTGAGATCAGAATCTGGCCCTTTGAAGGTAAATTTGCTAAATGGTCTCATAAAATACCAGAACAATTGTTTACCTCTCTTTTTACCTCTACACTGTTTTAATCAAAGCAAGATGTATTCTATTTTAGTTGTTGGTGGTGTTATACTCTACTTCCTGGTGTTTGGATGGTGTCTGACATCATCTTCTTACTCACAGCCGCCTTTGATGGGGAGAAACGTGCCATCAATCTTCCTTCTGTAAACAGTGCATCGTTTGTCCTGCGTTTCTTGGAGAAGCTCTGCCACAGTCTGCAGTGTGATAATCTTTTTAGTAGCCAGCCCTTCAGCCCTTATATGGGAAGTGCACATAGTCCTACAGAGTATGATAGGAACAAACCAGGTAATACTAAATTATACTATTTCTTTTTCAAGTACAACATCTTTTGGGGTGTATGGTTATTTTGTGCAATTCATTTTTTTGATATGTCCTCCTACAACTTGAATTGATTGAAATGAGTACTGTGTGGTTCTTAGTAAAATTAGTCCTAGTGTGATGGGGTGATTTAAACCACATGTGGAAAAACTGTATTGTTAAGCAAATGCTTTTCTTTAGGCAAACGAGGCAATGTATACATCATCCCACTGTGATGCTGCAGAAGATCTAGTTTAAACTTTACATTTAATCTGCTTGATTTATGCATATATAGTAAAATATATTTAACACACAGCAGCAAAATATAATTATTACCTGCCTAAAAGAAGTTTGCCCTATAAGACTCAATGCAGCCCCCCTCTACCCAACTGAAAGGTGCTTCATCCTGATTCTTCCTTTCTCCCTTCTGTGACCATTTCAAAGGTGTTGAGACTACATAGAGTCTATCATAGGTAGGGAGAGAAACCAGGATTTATAGATGGCGGCTGTGGTGGTTTAGGAAATGAGGAACCCATTTCTACAAGTGAAGAACACAGCACCCCACCCAAAACAGCACCCCTTACCTTGCAAGGACAAGCATGGTACCCCTGAAGTCTCCTCCTGCACCCAGCTGCTGACTACAGTGTCAGTAGTATCCAGGACTTAGCCCATAATGAGACTAAGATAATTATATAGAAAACTGAAGAAGTGAGAGTTGAAATGAAATAATCCTAAAAGTAAAGGAGTAAGACCAGAAAATGATGTAGAAAAAATCTCTCTCACTCACTCTCTCATAATGAAGGTCACCATCTGAAACTAAAAGCATTAATGTTAGAGATGTTTAGTAGGCCTGTCAAGCGATTAAAACAATTAATTGCGGTTAATTGCGCTGTTAAATAATAATAGAATACTATTTATATACATATTTTTGGATGTTTCCTACATTTTTAAATATTTTGATTTCAATTACAACACAGAATACAAAGTGTACAGTGCTCACTTAATATTTATTTTCATTAAAAATATTTGCACTGTAAAAAAACAAATAAATAGTATTTTTCAATTCACCTAATACAAGTACTGTAGTGTAATCTCTAGCATGAAAGTTGAACTTACGAATGTAGAATTATGTACAAAGAATAACTGCATTCAAAAATAAAAC